AGCAGCAGCAGCAGCTCCAGGCCAGAGAGAAGGATGTCGAGCATCCGGCAGCTACTACGGCTGCGGTGGCGTTGGCGCAGCTGCAGCAGCACCATCGTCTCGACTGGGACTCAGAGCCGGTATTGTCCTGTCCCTCTCCCTTACTCTCTCTCTCTCTCTCTCATTCCCCCTCTCTCCATCTCTCCCTCTCTCGGCCGTCTAGGCTGTTTGATTTTGAGCCAATGGATGCTAATTGTGCGTGTGTGTCTACGTGGTTAGGATGATACGGACATCCGGTCGGTCGAGCTGCCGCCCATCCGTGACTTGAGGGATTCCTTTCATCCACGGCAGCGAGAGCTGCTGCCGTCCATTCTGCATCCGCATCATACCCACTCTCCGCCAGGCCGCTCGTCGACTCTGCCACCCATCAACCGCAACCAGAAGATCCAACGGTCTCGGAAAGGGTCGCTCACGCACTCGCACCCGGCCCGTAAGGCCAAGCACGACCGCAACCGCTCCAAGGACTTCAAGGACTTTAGAGACATCACCCGTCGCCGGTCGCTCAACGAGCGCAAAGCTCTCTCTGCCGAGCCGCAGACGGCCGCCGCCTGGGTCCAGGGCAAGCGATGGGAGGACCTGATCGAGGCTGCCACCTCGGCCACGGAAGTCGACGATCGAGACATCACCCCGGTGCCCCAGTCGCCTCCCCCAACATCGTCGTCTTCTTTCCAGCCTCACTCCCCGTCCTTTAATTCACTGGCAAGCATCAAGCATCGCTCATCGGTTCCCCCAGCGTTCCAGTCGCCGCCAACCTCCAACCAAAACTCGACCTCCATCACTTCGCAACCAGCTGCCGCCACCTCTCACCCGCTTCAGCCGACTCCGTACACCGCTTCGCCGTTGCAAAAGTCACAGACTCCACCACCTTTCCACCGCGATCGAGACACTGACCTCGAGCCGTTCCCCTCTATTGAGTCGAGCATGGACGTCACCAAGCCTTATCTTTCCCCTCCCAGGCCGGTCACCTCTTACCCACAGCAGCAGCACAACATCTACCCGCACCCACACCCTCATGCTCACCACCCGCTCCACCCGCTCCATCCACGCCACCGTCTCTCAAACCCGGCTCCTTTCACCTCCACCTCCGCCTCGAGCTCGACCTCCAACGTCTCCATCTCTAGGGACAAGGATCTGCACATCCACATCTACTGCGCGTCTTGCTCCCGCCCAAAGGCTATCCGGGACTGCTTCGCCTGCACAGAATGCATCTGTGGCGTCTGCAGAGACTGTGTTCCTGCCCTATCCCTCTCCATGCATTCATCTGCAGGCTCCCCTCCGTCTTCCTCCTCCACGGTCGGTGCAATGGGTATTTCCGTTCTCAACCTTGGCCCCACTAGCAGCCCTCGCTCCGGCGGTAGCTCTGCCGTAAACAGGCTGGCACGCAGCAACAGCACCAACACGACAATGTCCAACCACTCGAGCATTCACGCCAATGGCAAACATGACGGTAGGCAGGGCCACGGATGTCCCAGGTGCGGCGTCGTGGGTGGCAAGTGGAGGGCTTTCCAGCTAGATTTCCGATGACGGCCTGATACAAACTGTCAACGACTAACCGGCGTTTCTTTCTCATGCTTCATTCTTCTTCTAACGACCCTAATGCCACGCTATACCTTGCCGCGGATACCACGCATTACGACCTATACAAATAAATACCTTACCAGTTGGTTGGTGGTTAGTCTTCTTTGCTTTCTTTCTTTTTTTCGCTCTCTCACTTAGTCGCCTGCTGATATACACTTACACCTATAGCTCCATTAACTGTCTGCTTGATTCGCTTCACTGCTTATCCTCGCTTACCCAAATCTGCTTGCTTATACGTGTTTACAGCCTCCTCTCGGTCTGACTACACCTCGCTTTCTCCAGTTATGCCTGTTTATTCATGTTCATGTTCATGTTTATGCTTTTAACGCCCCTGTACCACTTCCCAATTCTCCCAATTTTTCCTAGCCTGCCTTTTTCTCTCTCCTTTCTTCATCCCCTTTTCCCCATTTCCTCACTCTATATACACTCTGGTTAAATCCCCTGGTCGGCCGGCGGGTGGTTGGTTAGTTGGTTGGTTGACTTGGTTAACAAGAATTCAGAAAAGACAAAAAACCGTATAAAAAAGATCTCCTTCCCCCTTTCCTACACCCACCCACGCCCCCTTCTACCCTCTAACCCCCCTATGCTTTCCCCGCTACCCTTCCTTTTGGTATTCTGGTTCTGGCACTCGCGTTTAGGTTCTAACCTGGCTGGCCCGGGGCCGTTGGCCTTCTAACGGGCCAAGCTGCATTTTCCTTCTGTCTGTTTTTTGTCACCCCCTTTTTTGTACATACTGTTCTTCTGTTTTTTCTTGGAGCGAGAAATATACACTTATTACACTACTATTATGAATATAGTACAGCACAATCTAATATACGCAGGCAAGCAAGAAGGCAGGCAGGCAAATTGGATGGAGAGAAAAAGTGCCGAATGGGTATTGTGTGAAAGTATCAAAATACATTTTTAAAGAAGACAGGTGTGATGTAGATCGATGAAAATGAGATGAAAGCACTCTTCTGCACTGGACTAGTTGAACTCGAGCTCTGGTTGGTTCGACTGGTCAATCAAACAGTACGAAGATGATAAGCACAGTCTGGTCGGGCAAGAGGTGGTAGGCGGATAGGGAGATGTGGGGTGAAAGGGGTGATAGAGGATGGATGGCTAGTAGTGATGAAGGTAAGTAGAGAAAGAAATAGAAAGTATGGCTAACTCGAAAATAGAATAGGAACGGAATATTGACGGAGAGGGTCCTTATCAAGCAAGCAAACAGAAAGAGAAACGAGACGGCCAATTTGAAGACCAAAAACACTGTGGGAGAGAAGAGGAGATATCAAATCGAAGCAGGACAGAGAAATAATTAAAAGGAGATAGAAAAAGTAAATTGGATGGAAAAGGAACAAAAGGTGAACAATTGCAACCGTCTTTCCAGTTCCGGTTTCAGTTCCAGCGCCAGAATTCAATCATGCATGCTTCTTCTTACTTTGCTTGCCCTATGCAGGACCAGATTTACCTCCATGGCGGCCGTTCGTCTTTTCGAGTACCTGTGGCACTCTCACGTCCGGATCGACCGGCCACTCCTGTTCTAGGGAGAGGAAGCATGCTGCTTCGACGGCTGGAGTGACCGAGAGAAGTGCCTGGACGGGCAACCACAGGTGGAGGCCCAGCGGACTTTTTAGCCCCAGGGCCATCGTTGGTTGGCATAAAACTGGTCCGAGAGCTAGGAACACCAGCATAACTCTGTCTACTTCTTGGGGCAGTAGCAAGTGCTGGTTTAGGAGATGCAGCTAGCTTGGACACTGGTGTTGGAGCAGGGACGCTCGGTACAGGGGTCTTTGCCCTTCGGGTCGGAGTAGGGGGCATTAGTCTTGATGCTGGCCTTGCTGTTGCGGTTGTAATGGTGGAAGAAGCGGATGATGCTGCAGCGGCAGCTTGTTTGCGCAATTTGCTGTATGGAGGAGGATCAAAGACTGATGGTCTGGGTGAGGGGGAGGGAGATGGTGATGGAGCAGTTCCGTGAGCATGGCTGGTACCAGGCTCCAAGGAGCCACGGTCTGTTACGCCGCGATGAAGGCGGCTTGATGGTCTGCCAGGAGCAGGGGATGAAGAGGATTCGCGGCTGAGGGGGCTGCGAAGGCCAAAGGAATAAGTGGACTGGTTGTGAGATGGACGAGGTGAACGAGAAGAGATGGGGACAGGGAGGTTCCTGTTTGATGATGATGATGATGATGCAGGAGGAGGGTTTTGTGGTTTGTAGACGTGGCCTACAACGAGGTCTTTGGTGTTGTATGTTGCGTTCCACCGGGGTCTACCGTCAGGGACGTAGTTTGAATATGTGAGGACAGTCAATGGGTCTACCAATCCTGTCCGCGATGCAGGACGTCCGGAGTGATTGGTAGTGGTTATCTTAGGTGTGCTGACTGCTCGCGGTATAGACGGCTTGCGAGGTGTATGTCCAATGCCGGTAGAAGTTGGGCCAGGCAGAGCAGAATGGCGTTTGAGCTTTGCTGCAGTACCCCTAGAGGCGGTGCTGCCACCACCTGCAACGCTACTTCGCCTGCTGGTATCTTGTATCATGGTGTGGTTGTTAATGTTAGCCGTGCTACCATTGGTGTTGCCGTTTGATATGATGACCGACGAAGCAGGAGAGCTTCCAGGGGTACCGATGCTTCGGCCTGCAGGGCTGTCGAGCGTAAGAATGCTCGAGACAGAATCTCGTAGTTGTCGACTGTTGAGCTCATCCAACAGTGCGTCCATGGCATGTACACTGGCCTGCAGCGCATCAAACCTCGCTGTCAGGTCGGCAAGAAGCCGAATAATCTCACCATTGACAGTCAGTCTGTCATTGATGCCCTTCTGGATGATAGAAAGCACCCGTTCAATAGCTGATCCATAGTGCACTTTCTTTGCTTCAAAGTTCTCTGCACGTTTAGCAAGCGCGGTGGGATTGTTATGTTGTATGCCTCCCTCGATGGCTTCACGCAGCTTCAAGACGCTCCTTTCGACAGACTCGCACATCTTGTGTGCCTGTTTGCCTGCGTTTCTAAACACGATGACCCATCTGTCCTCAGCTAATTCGCGTCTGAGCGCCTCAGAGTCTGTTTCCAGTTTCTTGTAGCCCTGTTCGAGACGAAGTCTTCGGTCTTCGAGTTCTTCGCAGGCGCTGGGGAAGATATCTTTGGCTCTGGACTGGAACATAGAGAGTCTCATGGGTAAGAAGTCAAGGGATGCCCGAAGTGGCTGCATCCGTGCAAACAAGGCCAGCAAGCTTGATTCATCCTGCTGGTTGGCTGTTCCTGGTGTCTGCGTACCAGAAGACATGAAGGATGCAAAATTAAGCCGTGGGTTTGTAGGTATATTTGACGGCGTCTCTTCGACAATGGTCTCAAGCTCGTTGATATCTAGACCTGTTGTTGGCTCATTATCCATCTCCATGACCATGACGGACTTGTGTCTCTTTTCCTCCATTTCAAAGATCATTCTCGACAGGTTGTCAATCTCTAGGCCGACATCTCCGAGTACAGCGTTCCATAGCTCCTCCCATTCCATTGCCAGTTCGACCTGTTCCTTGACTCCATGTAGCAGAGCGCCTACTTTCCCCCAATTCTGAATGGTCTGTTCCATCTGTGTGACAATGTTATTCAGCGATTCGGAGCCAACCTCTGCGATGTCCTCGCGGACCTGGACCTCCTCGATCGCCTTGACATAGACATTGACCAGACATTCGAATTTGGAGACGGCCTTGTCAACATCGTCCAGGCCTTCTCTGCCTCCAGCAGCAGCCCATTCGACGTCATCTTCGGCCTCGAGTCCCCCCAACACCTCCGACGCTTTGTTTGTCCACTTCTGAATCTGGTCTGCAGCACCGCTGAGCGCTCGCACGGCGGCCGGGGCACTCGATATCGACGCTATGCTCTCCTCGAGGGCGGCTGGTTGTGGTAGGCTGATGGATGTGAGCTGTGAGAGTTGGTTGCTGAAAGAGGCCCGGGAAAAGGAGTATATGGAGTCCGGTCTGTTGAGGCCGAGAGGGTTAAAATACGACTCTGACGCGTTTGACCCGGTGCTCGAGTGTCCCAGCGGCGGTGTGTCCTTGGGCGGCGGCGGCGGAGGGATGTCAGAGTCGGCAGCATCTATCGTCGCCCCGTGGCTCATTCCCGCCGTCCCCATGGTACTCAAATGTATATCAGTATCAGTAGACGCGTCCTTTTCCTCCACAGTAGGGAGGATCCTATGATCTACCACCGGTGCTGGGACTAGAACTGGAACTGGTGCGGCTGTTGGTGCGGCTGTTGCTGTTGCTACTGCGTCTCGTTCGGCGTGGTCGTTGGCTTCTGGTTCAACGGGGCTTGTCTGCGAGAGTGTGCGGCCAGAGTCCTGCTCCCGGTGCGGCGCACTCAGTCCACCGCTCCACGCCCGTCCGCGCCGCTGCACCCGGATGGAGAGGTCGACGTTCTGTCGTTCGAGCTCCTGCAGCTGGGAGGCCGGTATTTTCCCCACCGGGCTCTTGGACTGGCTTCGAGCCGACGCAGTGTCAGACTTGCTTGAAGCCCCGTCCAGCAGCTTCACGCGCGCCGCAAGACTGGGCGACAGCCGTCGAAAGATGGACTGTCTGCCCTTGTCCTTGTGCTCTGTAGCCGCGTCTTTCTCAGTGTTTGTCGTAGCAGTATCTAACGTTGCCCTGGCTGTTGTTGCAGCAGCAAAGACCGGCGCTACTCCAGGCGTATCTCGGGTCGACGGTGACCAGGAAGCGATGCGTTGGGCAGCAGAACGGGCAGCAGACGCCCGCTTGGGGAGAAATATCGAGTCGACGGCGCTCGACGGCGACGCTGGAGGGTCTCTCGAGTCTGCAGCAGCAGTGCCAGATCTGTTGCCAGGCCCCGAGACGCCTGGGGGCATTGATACGTCGTCCCGTCCAGCTGCTGGCGTGGCTGATGCTGGCGTCCTTCTCGTCTCTCTCGACTGCGGCTCGCTCGTCCGGCTCAGCAGCGACAGGCCATGCCGTCCCAGCCCTTGTACCGATACCGCGAAGATGTCTCTGCTCGTAGCTGATGCTGGTGCGGGTGCTGTTGTGGCTGTCCTCTGGGTGCGGGTGCGGGTGTTGGTGAAGTTGGCGAGCAAGTTGGTGATCTCGCTCCTGGAACACTTGCTAGCAACCCCTGGAAATTGCACTCTGCCCGCGACGGCGACGACGGCGACGGCGGCGGCCTCTACACGCCCGTTTTTCCCTTTTGCCCTGTTTACGCTGTGTCTCTTGGGCTCCTGGCATTTCGGCATGCTTCTTCTCCCGCTCGGCACCGTGCTGGCTTGTCTACCAATTTTACCGCTACATCAGGGGCTGTGTGTGTGTGTGTGTGCGTATACCATCTTGGTCCCCTTATACTCGCCCGTGTAGAGAAGGACGACAAGAAAAAGGACCATGCTGCAGAGGCATATGATGGTGCAAGACCGGGCAGTTCAATTGCAGATGCATCCTGGCATCCATGGACAGGGACATGGACTGTACGACGTGGTACCAATGGGGATTCATGTCTCGTTACATTAGCCTTGATATTATACTATTGTATATGCATCCAGATATACATATTCCGGACAGAGAGAGAAAACAAATAAGATGGAGAAGAGAAAAAAACAGAATAAGAAGAAGAAGAAGAAGAAAAGAGAAAAAAAAAGGCCCGCCATCATCCGTATGGAGACAGAGTCGAGGGAGACTTTACTGCAGGCTCCTCCTCGCGGGAGCTCCAGTCCTGCATTACTTCCTCCCTCACCGTCCGGCACCACTGCAGGATGGCAGCATCGAAGCCTTTCCAGGCCTCCGGCTTGTCTCCGGTCACAATTGCCATCACATCGACCTCCAGGCGCAGCTCCCAGCGTATCTCGGCCGCCTTGACCCAGAAGCGGAGGTTATCTGCCATCCGGTACGGCTTGTTCACGTCGTCGTGGAACGTCTTGATCGCGCCAAAGGGCCGATATGACAGCTTAACGGCCTCATTGTGAAAGCGTACCAGGTCCCGGCCGTCCCGCAGACGGGCCAGGAAGGGCGTGGGCAGCTCCTGTTTGCTGTCCTCGCTGCTGTCGACGGGATCCCAGGCCGGCAGCGGAGTGACGGCTGGCGGTGTCAGGTTCTGCAGGAATTGATACTCCCTCTCACGCTCGTGGCCGGTCCAATCGCCGCTTGTCCATGTCCAGCTCTTGCGCTTGTGGCGCTCTCCGGCTTCTATCTTGCGTTCTTGCTCGAGCATGCGGCCAATGCCATCGATCCAGTCGAGGATGGACGACCGCTCCTTATCCCTGAGTCCTCCGGCAAACGACCGGGACGCCCATCTCTTTAGGACCTCGAGTACTGATAGAAGCTCGGCCCTGATTTCCTTTTCACTCTTGATCTGGGCCAGGCGCTCTGGGTGTTCGTGGGCCGTATAGTAGATTCGTGCTGCACGTATGGCCAGAGTGACCAGGTCGAGTATGTGCATCCCCTGTATCTCATCCCAGCCCTTGGGCTGCTTCTTTGACGGCGTCTCCTTCTGCTCATCCTTCTCATCGTCATTATTATTATTGCTGCGGTTGCTTCTGTTGTTGTTGTTGTTGTTGTTGTTGTTGTTGTTGTTGTTGTTGTCGTCGTCGTCGTCGTCTTTCTTATTACTTGCGTCTTCGTCTACCTCTATCTCAGGTAGGTTACTGCCGTCCTCCTTGGTAGCAAGCTCACTTGCTGCCAGCTTCTGGGCTGCAAGTTCGTCCTTGCTTGCCGTCAGGACGTCTCTCGCCTTCTCCAAGGCATTCTGTAGATCATGTCTCAGGGCGTTCAGATCCGGTGGCGGCGGTATATAATGCGTCTTTATGCTGTATGTGCTCACAGTCGGCGGCAGCATGAGAGGTTCATGTTCGTATTCATCCCATGCGCCAGCGTCATCGTCCATTCCCCCAAACTCCCCGAACGCCTCGATGGGACTCTGGACCAGATCCCCGTCCAGATGCACTTCCTGGCTCAGCGTGAGCTTCGGTATTTCAGCGTCCGTAGGCTTCTTCTTCGCTCTGGCCATCTGAGCACCTTTCCCGTCCAGCAGCCCGGTCCGGGCAAAGTAGTACTGCAGATGGGCGATGCTCCCCAGGCTCATCACGCTCTCCCGGTTCTTCGCCGACTCTGCAAACGTGGCACCCTGAGGGCGGATGTAGCCTCTCCTGCGGGAGCCGGTCGAGGCAGAGGAGAGCACCGACGACCTAGCATCGCCTGAGAAGTTCGAGATGGACGAGACGGTCGAAAAAGTGCGGACCGGCGATGGACAGGAGGATATTGCTGGCGTCGGCGACAGAGAGGGAGACCGAGACAACTCACGGGCGACGCCCTGAGAATCAGCAGTCGGTATATCAATAGCTTCGCTCATTTTTCCCGTCTGTGTCGTCTTTCTCTTTCTTGTCTGTCAACAAACAACAGTTCCACGGCGTGTGATGGCGAACAACCGATGAATCTCTCTCGACCAAAACAAATCACCAAAAGGAGTTAAACGCCAGAAAGGACGGCCAATCTCCTATCCATGCCAGTTGTTCATAGTAAGTACGGGCAAAATCTCAAACACATCAGTGCATATCCTTGTCGAAGAAGAGGGAAGACGAAAAAAAGTAATCAGGTCACTAAATATTTAGTTTCAGGTCGGCGGTTTCAGGGGCAATCCACTCTATTGGCCAACCTCCGTAATCTTCTTCTGCTGTTGAATCTGATAGTCCTCCTCCGTACGGAGTACTGAGTTTGTTGATATCCGATAGTTAAAATAGGGCTCTCTTCCAAGGCCGGGAGTAGCCATATTGCGATGCATCAGAGGCCGAGCGACCTGGCGAACTGTAAGGCCATTCATTATTCGTTGTTGTAGTTAGCCACACTGCATTCTGGATGGCTGTCCCCTTCTCGCAGCCAGGTTGGCCACACAATTTAGACTTGTAGTTATACGGGACGATCGACAGCACTTCATATCCGTCGTGTGCATTAAGGAAACTCCCCGTAGTATCCGAGGGCTCGTCTCGTGCTCAGCTTGGATATGAAAATAATGTGGTTATCCGTTGGTCAGTGTAGATGGGCGCTGTGGATGACAGGAAACGAAAGCTGCTGTTGAGCCCCCGTTTTTTGCGTGTAACCAGTCAGTGGCTGCCTGCGATCTGGAAACAAGCAAACTAATTGCAGAGCCGAATTAAATCTGTATGCACCTGAGAGGAGACCGTCGCCTCGAATGCCATCATCGTCGGTAAGGGTTCAGGCGTATTGAGAGCGCCCTCTCCCAGACCCTTTCGCCATTCAACCCCTGCAGTTGCTGCCGTGCAAGAAACACATGAAAACATAAGAATGCCCTTAGAGGAACATCTGGGGACAATTATCGGGTTCATCCTGGTTACTATCGTCCCGACAAGGAGACGATGTGCATTCAGGGTCGTCCCATTCAACGGCACCGCACAACCCTAAGCAGAGGCTTAGAACGCGTCTGCTTTATTGACATCTTTTCCGAGATTTGAAGAACACGCTGTATGGGCTGGATGAAGACTGTTCTGGCGTGTTTTATTTATGGCGGTCTAGAAAAGAGGCCAATATCGGAGAGGACGTACCCCATATGGCTTATTTATGTCTCCCCGATGCCCTTCAGTTCCAGCAGGTCAGCTATGTTCGTCTTTTTATGCCATCAGGTGTATACTTAGTTGCACTTAAAGGACCAGAAACCCGGCATGGTTCCTGTCCAGCTGTTGGTGACTGCATCCAGGAGTATATAGATAATTCTTTGGACCAAGTAGGCTCTCGCAAAGTGTTTACCGCTTGTGACACATTAGTATAAATGGAGGATTGTCCGGCCGCGTATTTGGTACGGCATGCAAAAATGTGCGTCCAAATACTATTTTCAACGTGGTCAACCATTGCCAATCTATACTTACCTAGATCCAACCTGCACTTGGTAACTTTTTATATATTTACTTCTACAGACAACCAACCTTCATCTTACGCATGAGAGTTATCAACCAACTAGTGCTCCCTTGGACCCTTCTAATGACGTTCTTCTAGAAATGCGTACACTAAAACATGAATTTATATGTCAAAACGAAATTCGAAAGCTAAGAGATGCCTACACATGCGATATATTGACGTGATTATAGTCGGTGACACAACTTCCAACCATACCATGACCGCAATATACACAAAATACTAATCAAGATGATCTTTCAAGTATAACTTGATCATCCGAAGATACATACCTTGTAGCTAACGTCTTCAACAAGCTGAGAAAAGTGTTTTGTTAAAGGTATGTCTGACCTCTTATCTTCAAACCTCTTTTTCCCAAGGAACGAAATTGTCATTTTCTTTCATGGGCGTGCAATGAGTTTCTGAATTACACAAAACCTGGATGAAATTGAAAACATGTCAGTTATATCTATTATTAGTAATGCCACAATCTACATATATTTCTTCTTACACTCAAGACCTTCATGCGAGTACGAGATGCATTTTTTTGATTTCCCTACCAAGGATTCTATCCATGTGCAACTCGCCAGTAATATAGGCTCAGAAATGTTCCATAGATGTCCTCCATGAGGGTGAAATGAATTTATGTCCTTGCTATAGTGGTAAGGTATGGGTATTTTGTACAACCGCCTTAAATATTACTATGACGTATAAATTTTGTTCCCCGACAAACATCTCACAACAAAGTTATGAAATCTAGTGACCGCCTGGATGATCTTACGCAATCTAATTTTCAATCCGCATTTCAACTTCCACCTATATTTAGTATACCATTATAACCGTCAAGATAGTACGGAAATGTTGAGGCCGAATTGATAGACAAGATTTGCTATAAATGGTCGGAATGATGGCAGAGTAAATAAACGAGTGCTTCTCGGTACATTATCTAAATCTAAGATCCTCCCTGGTTTCTGCATATCTGCATGCATCTCAAGCCATGTATCACCAAGTCCATGCCTACCCCTGTGCCCTGATATTTAAACTTTAAAGTTGCCGCGTAGACGCGTCGAGTTGCACAGGATAAAGTTTACTCTCCACTAATTTGCATTAGTGTAAACTTAAAAACTTTCAACTAGGACAGGTTGGAAAAGGGGCAGAACATACGGAGTATTTGCTAAGGAGTATTCCCTAAGATACCAATATCCAATGAGCATTTCTGGTAGTTGTACTAGGATTACCTGGTTGAGCCATACTTTCATTTAGCTAAGAAGGAGAAAATACGTCTATTTTATGAAGCCTCATCGTAGATATGCAACTAGATTACATACTTATATCACTCGAAATA